CAGACCCACTGAATTGAAATCTGCCGTGCTACGACTCCCGCTCCTCAAGTGAATCACATGCCCATTTCGTTTTGAGAAACACCATTGTGAAAACTCCAATTTCTCGAATTCTCATTTCTTCCTAGAATCTGCACACCCACATAGCCTGTGTGTGCTAAGCCTTCTATTAAGAGCGTTGCATTCACATCATCAGTGAGTCTAACTTTGGCCACAGATAAGAGTTATCTGGACAGAAGTTTTAAAATAATATGTTAGACTTGATTTCTATTACATATATAAGTTCAATAAGAAGAAATTGGGTCTGAAAAAAGACTTCTAATGAAGCTCACTTGATAAAATGTGCAACTCTAGTTAAAGCACTTGCAATATCATAGTGTTTACCTGAAAGCACTAAGGTGAGGATATTATATTACAGAGGGACTCACCCACACTTACCAACCATGCATTTAGTTGGGTGTTTCTTGTACTTTTCCTTGAGAGCTTCCAAAGTCGTCAGTGTGTTCTCAACTTCCTACTATGTGATTATCTCATCATACAGCAATCTGTGGGGAAACCCAGAGGACTGGGGAAAAAACGAGCAACTGGAGGACCTGACAGGCAGACACAGCTTGGGCAGAAAGATGAAACCCTGAGACAGTGTTCATGTGAAGGACAGAAGATCATCCACTCGGCGTTCAGCTAATAAAGACTTGAATTGCAGAGAAAGCTGCCTGCTGCCACACCCTGTATTAAGAAGTATCTCACACAGGAATATTTACAAAACACCCTGGGCACAGCTCTTTGACTAGGTAACAATGTCTCCTACCCTGTTTTGTAAGGTTGGCATATCACCCACATGGCCACCATACTTTTGAGCAAGAGATATTCTGAAATCTGGTTATCCCAAAACAGGAAGACCAACCAGAGACCAACCCATGTGTGGTATGTTCCCACAAAATCAGGGAGGAAGTGAGTCATGCCTGCTTGCATCATTAAAGTAAGGCATGTGTAATGTTTTAAAAGATTTATCATAAATGAATCCCTCCTTCGCCGTCTGATCATTTTTTTTTCTGGTCCAGGAACTATTACAAGCCCATTATGGGATTGCCAGTTAACAGCTTTAAAACGATGTATGTTTGGTGGTGTGTGCAAATAAGTAAAGGAAATAGGAATTTTCCTTTACACACCATATTTGGAATGTTGTTAAGTCATTCTCTTAGTCAGTTGGCCCAAATGCTAGCAGCATAATCCTAAAATGTGAATGCTGCCTTTGAAAGTCCAATTTAATCCACAGATGTGTGTAATGGCCTGCTGTAGACAAGGAAGATGCTGAGGATAATCGCAGTGCTGAGGACCAGAAGTAGTAGCAGTGCCAGAGCATCTATTTGCTTACTTATTAAAAAAAAAAAAAAACATCTTCCTGATACCCAGCACTCTATTCACATTTATACCATACCTACTTTCAAATAAACACCAGAGTTGAAGAGATTTAAAGACTAAGCCTCCAGGGAAAAGCTGCCATGTATGCGTATCTCCCTTCTGTAAAAAAGGAACAGACCCACCTTCATGGCAAGCACTATACCTTTGAATTACGGATATATTTACATTAAACCAAAGAAGTTAAAAAGAGAGAAAGAGATGAGAAAATCCCTAGTGATAAATTTTCAAGTAAATAGTTTAAAATATTTTGAAATAAATGTGCTTTGCTTAACTTCTGAATTCCCTTGGTGTCATATTAATAAAAGGCCACAATATTGTAAATACTTAACTAAGAAACTAAAATTGAGTATGCACACATGAAGAAACACTGAGTGTGTTTTGGGGTAATTGCCTGCCTTCCTGAGAAGAAACCCTGCCTCCTATTTTAGTATCAGGGATGACACCCCTCTGTCTAGACTCCTCAGGGTGCTTTGTTTTCCCTGAGCCTGGTAGAGATAATGTCACTTGCTAACCTCCTAGAGAGATTGAAGACCTCCTCAACTGGGAGCAGCAGCATTGGCTGTCTTTTCAGAGGCATTCTGCCCCCTAGTGGACACCCAGGTGGGTTTTGATGCAAGTTGCAGAGGCTTCATTCCCTTCCCACACTCTCCTCTTCTGAAAAACCTCAGGAGGTGCTCCAGTTGAAAGCTTTTGCCTCCTCCACATATGTATGCATTTGGAGCAACAATTTCCATTTATATAATATAAAAATTCTTGGCTTCCAAATCAGACCTAAAATAAAAAATTATACGCATCATTGGTGGTTATGACTAAAAAAGGAAAATGAGGTGCTGGGGGAAAAAAAAGGTGTGGATATGGCTAAAGAATGTGGACTTGAAAAAAACAACCATAGAACTCTAGCTGAGGAAAGAGGAGTAAATGTGAATAAAAGAAAGCTATAGAAAACTAAACATGTGGCCGTTTCTCATTGGCATTATAGCTACTGCAAAACATCTCTTGTGTTCCCCTTGGACCAGGAATCACCACTCATAGAGGAGGTTGTGGAAAACTACTAATCTCAATCATTTCTAATTTAGATGAGCGTTCCCTATTCCAGCTAATTGAAACTTTTACATTTTACTTTCTTGATTTTTTTTTATACTATAGGGTGCATCCCTGTAAAGGGAGCACTGGGAAATCATGCTAGTAGAAAGAGGAGGTACCAGTTCTGAACCCCACTCCTCTTCTGAAGTTCAATTTGTTTAGACTTTGAGCTTTGTAACAGCTTACGGCTAAGTATTTTGGAAAGCGATACGCATATGCTACCATGTACATTTATCATTGAAACCCAGGATATCCTGGCTCCAGAAGTTGTCTCTCTGGATAGTTCATGGGTCTTTAGGTAGTGCAGCCCACCCATATTCATATCCAAGTCTGCTTTCACTCAGTTTCTCCTTTCTCTCAGTTTGTATTTTAATCACCACACAGAACCCCAGAATCTTCAGATTCCGGAACACTGAGGAAAGTTTCATTTTAAAATGTTGATGGAGAACATCGTGATAGTGAATGCAACATTCCCTCTTTAAATAGTACAAACCCCTCTCAGACTCTTCCTACACACATAACCTGAACTCTCCAAACCATGAAAGTGTGTCTCCATCCATCACTCTGTCAGCTGCCATCAGTCATCCTCTGAGGAAGGCTCAAACTTCAAGGCATAGCCCCAGAATTGGGTGATCCAGTCTTCCCACAATAATAGAACTACCACTAAAGACTTTTAGAACACAAAAAGGACTTTTATTTCATAATTTTACTAAATTTAATTTCCAAGTACACATTTGCTGAGAGGTGGAATACCGAAGGCAATTTCAGACACAAAACTCCACCAAATACACACAGTCTGAGACATTGCTTGAGTGAGTTATAGTCCTCTCAGTACTTCCCACTTAAAGAAGATAAAACTAAGAGAATAGAGAGGAAAAGTGAACAATATTGTTCTATAGGAAATTTGTCAAACTTCTTAAACATTCATTCCATGGGTGCAGTGTCCATTTTTTTAAAAAAGGAAACTCTAATGTTCCTAAAAACACAAGACAATATTGGTATTTTTAAATGAGTATACATTCAGATACTTGTGTGAAAGTTTGTGCAATTAAACAATATGGGAAATGGTACTTGTTACCATAGTCAATGAAAATATATTTTCATTTCTATGCAAGTTGAACATTTCCATCTCCCATTTTATGTTCTGCAAAAAAGCCACGTGCCTAGTTTATGAAACAAACTATGCTCATATGCAGTAGTAACTGAAAAGAAACTTACCAGTTCTATCTGCATACCCCTGGGATGAATATACACCTTGCATAATCATGTGCAATGCTGGATGATGATCCTAGGTCTCTTATCACTACAAAGGTTTGCAAGCTTCTATTTGATACACGATGCCCCAAATTCAGTCATTTCAGCCAAATACTCAAGCAATAATTAAGGTGAGTGATTTACAAAATGACAAACAACCCATTTGACTAAATTGACCATGTTTTGTTAGCATGATGGTGCAATTGTTGTAGTTGCCCTATAAAGAAATCATTTGTAAGTGGCTATTTGTTTCAATTAGTTTTCCCCTAAGGCTCTTAGAAGTTGACTTAATTGCCTCTTGGGCCCCAAGAAAACACAGCTACATGAACAGAAGACCAACATATTAATAATATAAAAACAAATACCATGCCCCATGTGCCTTCCTCCATAGGAGAAATGTCACAAAGCACAAAGAAACTAGGGATCCAGCAGAAATCTCTAGGATTATCTAATGCCTAAGATTTTATCTTACTCCGGTGTCAGGTATAATGTTTGTTGAAATTCCCTTTTTTCCCTACAGTACGTGTGAACTTTTGAATAGCATCTTTTCAGAGTCATTACCCAGTGTGAAGGTCTGCACAGTAGGCAAACAGTGTAATTCAGCTCACTACATCTATTGTCTGATGATCTGGACTGGGCAGCTTCACACAGGGAGTGGATCCATTTTATAAAGACAACTTCCTTCTGCAGACAAAAGGTCTCGACTGCAGACAGCCTCTGAAGCAAGGACTGTGAATCTTCTTTGGCATATTAAACATTCCACATACACATTTGTTCTTAGATGACCTTTCGGGACTGCTTCTTTCCATTAAGAAAGTGCAATCGTTTTTTTTTCTCCTTTTAGTATGTGATTTTTGCTGTGTTGTGTACCCCTCAGAGTGAATTCAAAATAACCAAGTGCCATTGGAACTTAGAAAGAGAGATACGCTTCAATTTTTTGAGATTTTATCATCACTGACATGACAGGTCAGTAACACATTCCCAAGGCTAGAAGGCTTGACGGTTTCCTGGCTGTTTAGGAAGCCTGAGGTTTGGCTCTATGAATTATAAAGAAAATAGGTTCAATTTCAGGCTCTCTAAGCTTTTCTAAATTTATACTGTGTCATTTTTCTAGCTGCTCCTGCCCAAACTTCAATAGTTACAAAAAAACAAGGTGGGGTCTCTCTCTCTCTCTCTCTCTCTCTCTCTCTCTCTCTCTCTCTCTCTCTCTCTCTCTGTCTCTCTCTCTCCCTCTCCCTCTCCCTCTCCCTCTCCCTCTCCCTCTCCCTCTCCCTCTCTCATGCACACTTTAATATAGTTTGGGGGGTTCTGGCTGCAGTTGAAAGATTTCTGGGCAGGGAAACTTGTTCTTCTGTTTACTTTATCTATTTGCACACAAAGGAATCACAGATGGGAGAGAGTGCAAATGATTATCAAAAATTGTCTCATGCATTTTAAGAATTTTTTACAAGTCAAAAATATACATCCTCCTATCTCCCCTTTTTATTCCTTAATTATATAAGAAATAGCATCTATTTCGTCAGTCTCCTCCGAATATCACGGAACTGGATAAGGAATAAAGATACTTTCTTGTGAAGGAATCGTATACAACTCGAATCCCTTTGACAAACTCCTCGAACGGCAGCAGTTTGGGCTGAGTCACCCAGCACACCCTCCATTGGTGGGGATTTAACTGTGTAAAATGACTGGTACATGAGATTAGGAAACAACGCAGCCTGCAGACTTTGGCACTAGCACACGTTATGTTTTGTTTGAGTTGTTAGAGTTGTAGTTTGACGATCACAAAACAGGAATTTAAAAAATTAGAACTCTGCAGAAAACAATCAATCTTAGGTGTTTGTTGATCCTCAGTGTAACACTCCCCATCTCCAGTTCCCACCCACCACCCCCATATATTTTTTTTGATTGTAATAAAAATAGAGATCTTAGCATCAGAATTTCACTTTAACTCTTCAAGGTTGCTCTGTGCCATCCCAGCCACATTTAGTGTTTGAAGCACCAAATCCACACGTTTCTCCAACCAAATGTAAATAAACCAATGAAGACTGACAGATGTCAAAGGAAGTGTTCTAAAATAAACTGTAACACAAAGTTCTCCCCCACATCATAGGGTATTAATTGTCTAGTTCAAGTACTGCCAGGCTGTATGTAGATCTGCCTCAGACAGGCTTCAGACAACACCTACAAGTGCCAATGGCTTAGAGGACAATGTCCGTGATATAAAACGGGGCAGGGATCCCCCATTCATCATCAGCGTTAAAAAGTTGCAGCCTTTTGTGTGATTGGCTGCACGAGGATCTGTGCTGAGCCCGGACTTTGAGGGGAAGAGGTTAACCTCCTCAGCATGGATGCTTTGCAGTTGTTTGAGAAGTTCCCCTTCCAGAGGGCTCTCTCAGAGCTGCTGGGATTCTCAGGATCCATTGCCCTTGCCCAGGAGAGAGAGCCTTGCTTCTACCCAGTAACAGGGAAAGAAGATTTGACCTACCTGTGGAAAGACCCAACTTGGTCCCCAAAGGTCGCCTAGGCGACCCCACTGCCATTGGCAAGTCAACCTGTACACTTAAAGTGTATCAGTTTATGGAATGCTTGTTTGAAGTCCTCATTAGACATAGTGTAGATGATGGGGTTGATGAGGGAGTTAAGGTAGCCTAGCCAATTGAAGAAGTCAAAGATGGCCATGTGAAACCAGCAGGCATCCTTGCAGATAGGCATCACCAGGGAGATGATGAAGAAGGGCAGCCAACACACAATAAATGCTCCTAAAATGATCCCTAGGGTCTTGGTGGCTTTGCGCTCCCTAGCGGCCATGAGCTTCTTCTTTTCCAGCAGGGCGTCTGAGATTCGCACTTTGACTTGGTTCACATACACTGGAGACCCGGACTCACTGGGCACGTCGGGAGCCCGGGAGTTAATAGAGGTGACCGAGGACGTGGACCCAGGGGAGTCTGTTATCAGTTGGGCTCGGGTCAAGCGCTTGCCGGTCTTATTGGGTGTCTGTTTCAAAATCCGAGAGCGGGCTTCCACATAGATGCGGCCATAGAGGGCGATGAGGAGCAGGGTGGGTAAATAGAAAGCGCCCACCGTGGAGTAGACTGTGTAGAGGACGTGGTCGGTGTTCACCAAACAGTCCAGCACCTCCTCCTCAGCTTTGGCTTGACGCCAGAAGAAGGGTGGCAGCGAAATAGAGATGGAGAAGACCCACACCAGCGTTATCATGATGGCCGCCCTTCTGGGAGTCCTTTTAGCGGAATACTCCACCGCATCAGTGATGGCCCAGTAGCGATCCAGGGCGATGACACAGAGATGCATAATGGAAGCAGTGCAACAGGTGATATCCGACGACAGCCAGAAGTCACAGACCACCTGGCCTAGTGTCCAGCGTCCAGTGACCGTGTACATGGTGCTGATGGGCATCACCAGGATGGATACCAGCAGGTCAGTGACTGCCAGAGAGGCAATCAGGTAGTTAGCCGGGGTGTGCAGCTTCCGGGTCCGATATACCGTGGCGATCACAAAGGCGTTGGAGAGCGTGGTGGCCAAGGTGATGAGAGCCAGCAGTGCAGCCAGCAGGACTTTCCAGGGCATGGCGATGGAGTCCTGGTAAATGTAGCTGTCGGCGCTGCAGTTGTGTGAGAGGTTGACAAGAGGTACCCCTGTCTGGGAGGAGGCAGGAGGCGGCGGGGCGCACTGAACTCCCTGCTCCTCCATGGCTCTCCTCGCCCTGGCTGCGGAGCGCAGCTCTTGAGCATGGAGCGGACGAGGAAAAGAGCAGAGGATGGGAGGATCATGGAGACCATGGGCTAGTCTCCTTTGCTTAGCCAGTTCCGTGGGCTCCTCAGGAACTCCTCCGCCTAGGTTCTTAGCCGAAAAGAGAGGTCACAGGCGCGGCCAGCAAGTCAGCGGGCGCGTCCGCTGCACTTCCAGTGCGCCTGGCGCTGCCACCGCGTCTGCTAGCTCCTCTCCACGCCCCGTCTTCACCCGGGTGATTAAAGCACTGGCCCACCCAGTCCAGCTCCGTTCGGGCTCCCTGGAGGCAAACAGTGGAGAAGAAGGCTAAGTATTGCTTGAGGAGAGGTCTCAGGTCAAGTGGTACCTCTTACCCCAATTGTTCAAGGCTTAGCTTCTCCTAACCTGGGCGCTCCGGAATCTGCAGACTCCTCCCGCAGGAGTTTCTTGGTTGTGCAGACCTAAGCTTGCATGCCAGTGCAGAGTCCTGGGCTTGCATCCCCGCCCCGGGCCCCCCGCCCAGAGCCGGGCCACTTTGTGTGGCCGCCTCCTGACTTGGGGATTGTGAAGTCTGCGAGCCGAGCGGCTCCAGGCGCCGAAGCTATGCACTCCCTCCCTTTTCACTCGCTGGCCACACCGGCGAGCTGCCCCGTGGAGACGCGGCCACCAGAGGGGAGACTCGGGGGCCCGAGCTGCAGCTGCTCGAGCGGCGCAGCAGCTGTCACCACCTCCCGGGTTCCAGCAGCGCCGCTGGGAGCCATGCCACGGGGCGCACAGGGCTAGGGCACCTGGAGCCGTACACCAGGAGGGGGCAGGTGTCTGGGGGAGCAGGAGGAACCCTGCGTGCGCCAGCCCGAAAGCTGGGTGTGAGCCTCAGAGCCAGTGGGGCTCCTTTTATACTATCTGGGTGCAGCCTGTTCTGGCCTTGCAACTCGTGCAGTGCGGCGAGTGCAGATGCCGGCCGCACAGCACCTTCCCTTACGCTTCCTCCCTCCCTCTTTTCCTCCCTCCCAGTTCCATTCCTGGCCACAGAACCTCCCGCCGGGTCCTACCGCCCTCTCTCCAGTTTCCGTCACCTTGTCTTTTCTCTCGACCCTGATACTCAGAGTCAGGCGGGGAATGGGGAATGGGACGTCCTGTTCTTGCCTCTGCGGGCTTTGAGTCTTAGCGCTCCGCAGTCAACCCACGCCCTTAGTCTCTGCCACAGACTTAGTGAGGGCGTCCGGGTCTAGGCTTCCGCCTACTACCACCTCCCTCTTTCCTGGAGGTTGGTGGTAGGTGGAGCAAACCCCAATCTCTAAACTCTCCTTTCTGGAATCTAACCCAGCACCAAAGGCCACACCCAGGTTAGAAGGAGGCGCCCGAGATGCTGCCTTAGAAGGAAGCAGTCAGTTTGTGCATTTTATACTTCACGCTTGGGGCTTTGAGATATCTTTAACTCTTAGTACATTAAAAACACATTTTCGTATCTACGTTTAGAAAATTGTGCTTGTCATTCAATCCTCCCTCTTTAACTCAGTGAGTCAACGGGAGAGGAGAAGCTGTCTGCAAGATTTAAGACAATGTCATAAAGGGAAGCCAGTTACTGTACGCGAAATTAAATGCTTGACTCCAGTCTCCCGCTCCAGGGGCTCCGCGGCTCAGTGCCCCAGTTTCCAGGGAAGAACTTCTTCCCCTCAGCCCGCCCAGGAAAGAGAATAAAGAGGTCTCTGAGCCTTCATCCCTACTCTCATCACACTGTCTCCTTTGCCCTCCGCAAGAGGATCTCTACTCAGCCATAGGGGGCAGTAAGCATGGCTGCTAGGAGCGCATCCTTGTGCTCGATTTTTTGTTTGTTTTGTTTTGTTTTCATCCAGTCTGAACAGAACCAAATACAGGGTACACGCGCAAATCAAAAGTTGAAAGTGAAGGGCAATGTATAATCGGTCTTAAAAATTAAGTAATCCCCACTACAAGTCCCAAGAGCCTAAGTTTGTATTTGGTATGTTAGATGGAGCCAATAAAAGCCACAGTATAATTGAATTCATCAGGTTCTTCTCTGCAAGTCTGTTTTTAAAGACTCAAATCATCCAGTCTCGGAGGTGAGCCAGAGATCATCTGCTCTATCGTCCATCCCAATTTTAAGGGGAGAGTAATTTCAGACCTATATGAGAGACTTTTACCCTAGGTGACTTGGTCCCGAACCAAGTTTTTTCCATCCTTGGCCCTCTAAGCCAGGCAAACAGGCAAATATTAGAACGCGTAATCGACGCCGGGTATTCTCCGCACTAAGAATATGGAGACGAACAAGGCAAATTCAAATCCAGTTTTACAGCAGTTATAATCTAAGAGAGGCAACGATGGTGAATGATGGCCAGCTACATTACTGTGCTTTCATGTGGCAGTAAGTGTGGTGAAGAAAGTACAACTCATTCAGGCTTAAAAAGGGAGCGCCTTATTGCTAAGGGGTTTTAGCTGGGTTGCAGTAGATGCTGCGAAGATTAAAAATACCATCTTTTTTTTTCTTTGTTCCTTTTCCTAAGGCCAGGAACTTCAAGCATATTAAGCAATTTTTTTCAACCGCATTTTAAGGTTTCCCCCACTCCCCCAACCTTCCAACTCCATCCACCCACCGCGGCGCTCAGTTAAAAGCTATTGAAAAGGGAAGGGAAGCTGGCGAATTTAAACCACTAGGTGGGGGCGTTGACCAGGATGGAGCAAGTGTGTGGTGGAGGGACAAAAACGTGGGTACACACTAGAAAACTGTTTTCACTTGCTAGTGTAGTCTTTTAGGAGAGCTAGGGAAAAACTGTTCAACAGACAGGAGACGGGAGAAGAATATGAAGAACCACGGCGGTCTTTCCATACCTGTTTCAAAAGAAGGAGACAGAGAAAACTTCTTGATATTGACATTAGAGAAGCAGACACCTGTGGCAGTCCCATGGACGACAGCTGATTTGGAGCGTTCCAAACCCCGAGCAGACGCTACTAATTGCAGACAGATTTTGGGTTTGCCTTCCGGTTAGAGCTGCATGAGGATACCACTGTAAACAGAGGGAGTTTTGGCGGAGCTCAGTGAAGAGTCACAGTTCATTAAGCTGGTTTCTGAATTTGACTCATTCCTTTCAGGATTTAAAACATATAAAAAAAAAAAGTAGCTGTTTGCACAGCAGTGAATATGTTTGATACAAGAAACTCACCCATTCACCCTGGGCACCAATTCTTGTCTGTTTTGTTTCCAAGTCCCAGCTCATTCAAAGGCACTTTCCTTCAAGCGAGTGGTGCACCTAGAGCTTCAAAGAAGGGTAAAAATTCACTGGGTAGAAAAAGCTCTTAATAGAGACGGCAAGAGAAGAACAGGCAGTGAGTCATTTTGTGGTGGGGGATGAATCACCCTCAAGGGTACTTTCCTACACCAGGGGACTGTTTTGCTCCCACAGGGAAATTCCAGGTGCAGTCTAGGAGGTTTTGATCTTGGTCTTATCATACCAAGTTCCTCTCCTGGCAACCACAAGGTGTATATCACAGAACTCAGAATTTGCTGTCCAACATAGTACCTGTCTTCCAGTGAAATCCTAATTGAAAAATATCCAAGAGACAGGTCCTCCTCACAGAATGTGGGAACTAAACAGATGCTTCTTTCAAGTCTTGCTTTGTCAAATCTAAGGACAAGATTGGGTGTTTTTACTGCAGTGATATTAAATTCCCACTGGTGAAACAGCAGAGACACCATCAGCGAACAGCTTTTTCCTAGATGGTGATAGCCCATAGCCAAGGACCTCTCAAGCATCCTCACCATCTCTGAAAGGACATTGGTATCACTGAAAATGCAGACTCTCCCAAGGGCCTTGTTTCTCTCTATCCTTGTGTCTTTCAAGAGGAAACTATGGGAATGTTTGGGTAAGAGAAAAATGTGCAGTTCTTACAAATCCTGAGTGTTTCAGGATTCTTTTGCACATTCATTGGTCTCCATAGTAGGATTGAGAGCTGATATCCGTATCATAGTACTCTATGCTGTCTAATTTCTTAAGGATTTTGAAGATTTACTAAATAATAAAGTCAGTTCTTTACTAGGCTGGTATAGATTAGTTCCTAAGGAGGAGCAGCTCTGCTGTGTTTCTAGGTATGATGGACAAGCTATATTTACATGGAGAAAGGAGCAGTGACAAAATTAGAACATATATGTATATATATAATGTATGAAACATATATATTTATATGACATATTTCTTTCATAATCTAAGACCTGTCTGTAATAATAAACAGTTTCTTAGCAAGTGTTCCATTGCGGTGAAGAGATGCCATGGCCATGGAGAGTCTTATAAAAAAGAAGGCATTTAATTGGGGCTTGCTTACAGTTGCAGAGGTTTAGACCACTGTCATCATGATAGGGAGCATGGCAGCAGGCAGGCAGGAAGACATGGTAGCTGAGAGTTCTACATTCATATCTAAAGAAACACTAGGCCAGGTCTGGACCTTTGAAATCTCAAAGTCTACCCCTCAGTCGCATACTTCCTCCAATAAGATTTACACTTTCTCCAACAAGGCCAGACCTCTTAATCCTTTTAAATAGTACCATTCCCTGGTCACTAACTATTCAAATACAGAAACCTATGGAAGTCATTTTATTCGAGCCAGCACAGATATTTTATGATGTAACAAATGAAGTAATACTGATCAAAATTTAACTCAGTTCAAACTAGCTTGGTCCCACATAAGGCCTTGGTCTTGAGATACCAGTAAGCAACACTAGCATAAACTGCTTGTATGATTCACTCTGCCCAGCAGGGAATCTTTCTCCTCGGGCAGGGTAGGATTTGTCTGTAAAGAAGAGTTCTCTGATGAAAAAGCAATGCCACTGGATTCCCTAAACTAAAATCAGCTTTTAAGTCAGTAGCACCGTTGTGAAGCTCTGTTTAGGATGAATTCTGTCTAAAACAAAAACAAATCCGAGCATTTCACGATAAAATTGTCCATCAAGCCTGAAGAAAACAAGAAAAAAAATGTCTCCTATATTCAAAATAAGGAATTTGTTCTTTACTTTCAACCCTGAAGAAAAAAAAAAAAAGCTTCACTGTGTAGCTTAGGTTTATAGAGAAAACAAGCCAAGCTGTGCCGTACTACTTCTATACCTGTAATTTATGAATAATAACCGCTGTCCTTCACTGAGCACTGTGCACGGAGCCATATGCTGGGTGTCCCACACACTCGTCTCCTTTGATTGTCACAGCTCTGACAATTGTCGTTATCATTCTCAGTTCCTGGAAGACGAAATTAAGACTTAGAGAATTTAAAGAACTCTGCTACTATCAGACAGATGGCAAGTGCTAAATTGTCCAAACTCAAGTCCCTAAAACTTCACACTCCATCCCTTCCCCAGTGTTCTGCGTGAAAATGGTCCTGCAACTCAGTCCTGGAGGCCATTTTAGCCAGTCTGCCTCCACTGTCTTTCTTTTTTTTTTTTTTTCTCCTCCTCCTCCTCTTCTTCTTCTGGAGACATAACAGCAACAGTTTGTAGCTATTTGAATTTTCAGAATAACCTTATAGATACTTTCACAATTCTGAAGGGGAAGAAGAGTAATAGTGTTGATTATGGTTTTAAAATTAAGGTATAAAACTAGTTTAGTATGATTATATGTGGATGGCTAATCGTGTTACAAGCAGTGTTGACTGGTGAATAGAGCTTAGTCTTATGTTGAACACTCACGTGAAAGCCAGACTAAAGCCTTACCTATATTTTTGCATATTTATTGTTCAGGGAAGGTTGCTTTTTTTCTTTTTCTTTATCTTTATATTCACATAGCCCTTGGTGTAAATGCAAACAAACACACTGAATTTTAGAAATCATCAACTTGAATTTGATTGAATGGTGAGGAACAAGTTGCTGAACACTGTGACATTCGCATCTCTAAAATTTAGAATTTAAAATTCTTAAATAACAAAAAAAGAATTAGTTTTCTTCTGATTTATGTATTGACCTTAAATACCTCTCTTTTTTTTCCGTAGGGCCAAGTAATTCAAAGTAAAAAAAAAAAAAATGACTCTTCCTGAGAGGAAAATTATCCAAATAAAGGTATTCAAAAGGTTTAATCAAGCCAGGCATAGTGGTGCATTGATGTGGGAGTGATTTCTTTCTAATAAAGAAACTGCCTTGGCCCATTTTATTGGTTAGAACATAGGTGGGTGGAGTAAACAGAAGAAAATGCTGGGAGAAAGAAGCTTAGTGGAGGAGTTGCCATGATTCTC